CAAATGCTATTGGAGGATCTGAGGATTAAATTCACCCTTCAGTGAAAAGCACCTCTGTCTGGGTTCTGGCTGGCCATCGCTCTCCCCTCCGCTTCCAGCTCCCTGCCCTCTACTGTGTGAGGGGTGGGTCCCCGTGTCCCGTGTCGGGGTCCCGGTCTGGATGCCCCCCGCATCTCTCCCCAGTCCCTGGACGACGCGGAGCTGCAGCTGCTGGGCCGCACGCACTCTGCCCGGGACGCCCTGCGGACGCTGGCGGCGGCGCGGCGCCTCTTTCCAGGCCGCGTGTCGGTGGACCTGATGCTCGGGCTGCCGGGGCAGCAGCTGGGGCCGTGGCTCGGGCAGCTGCAGGAGCTGCTGCGCCACTGCGACGACCACCTGTCCCTGTACCAGCTGTCCCTGGAGCGCGGCACGGCGCTCTTCGCCCGGGTGCAGCGCCGCGCGGTCCCCGGCCCCGACCCCGAGCTGGCGGCGGAGATGTACGCGGAGGGGCGCGCGCTGCTGCGGGCCGCCGGCTTCCGCCAGTACGAGGTCTCTAACTTCGCGCGCCACGTGAGTCGGGCTGCGCGCCCCCAGGAGAACCCCTGCTGGGCACCCTCCGGCCTCGGCCTCACCGTCCCTCCTTCCCCACAGGGGGCGCTCAGCACCCACAATTGGACGTACTGGCAGTGCGGGCAGTACCTTGGCGTGGGGCCTGGTGAGTCCCCTGTGAGTGACACGAGGGATGACTCAGGAGAGGGATGTCACAGCGTGAACTTGGGCCACCTGTGTAGCTCTCCAAGCCTGTACTTCTTCATACCTAAAGCGCAGCAAAAGAATTCCCGCCAGGTGGAACTTGAGTGTGATGCCTGGCGCTTGCAATCCTGCTGAGGCCCCGGGCTTGCGAGTCTTTTGTATGCATCGGAATCCCCCGGAGGGCTTGTTAAAACCCGGAGTGGGGCGCGGCAGCCCGCAGAATTCCGGCAGGGTCAGACTGGAGTAGGGCCTGAGAATCCCCACTGCCAGCCCGAGAGGTGCTCTGGTCCCCGGACCACACTGAGAAAACCAACCACGGGTTGGTTTCTGTAAGCGCGCAGTGTTAACCCTTGCGATGGTTGTGATTATCAGGTGCTCACGGGCGATTTGTGCCCCATGGGGCCGGGGGCCACACCCGGGAGGCTCGGATCCAAACGCTGGAGCCTGACAACTGGATGAAGGAGGTGACGCTGTTCGGTCACGGCACCCGGAAGCGAGTCCCGCTGGATGAGTTGGAGCTGTGAGCCTCCCAGGGTCTCTGGTGCCCAGGAAGCACTTCCACCCATACCCCTTAGTTTCCTGCCCGGCCCCCCAACCCCACGTCCTGCCCCATACTGCAGGATCCCCATCAGCACAGCCCAGCCTCCCGTTTGAAGAATGGGAGAGGCAGGGTCTCCCCTCCAAGGCGCCTGCTGCTTTTATTTCCAGGCTGGAGGAGGTTTTGGCCATGGGGCTGCGCACGGATGTGGGGATCACGCACCAGGTAAGAGCAGACCGTTTGCTCCTCCTGAGTCTTATGGGACCGTCAGTCACTCTCTTTCCCCACCACGCATGCACACGCACATGCAGACACACATGCCTCTTGCACTCCTAGAAGTTGGGCCTTGGTCCAGCTGTCTGCTGTGCAGAAGCTGTAGGTGGTGTGGGGCAGTGGTGAGAAGCTAGACCCGGGCTGCAGAGACCCGGTTCTGGTCCCAGTTCTGCTGCAGCATTGAACACAGATCCTTTCACAGCTCTGCACCTGGGTTTTCTCAGCTGTGCGAGGCAGTGGATTCCAGAAAGGGCTTCCCTTATGTTCAGCGCACCAAAGCCTCCGCTGGGAAGCTCACTGGACAATTTGATCAGACCCGGAGTCCCCGAGGCTGAAGTCACAGCGCAGGTGCAACCTTGGCTGGGCTGTGCCCTGCCAGGGGCAGGGAGAAGAGCAATGGCAGAGGCACAGAGGAGACCTGGCTTGGCCAGGCGCTGGCTTTGGCTGAATGTGCCATGTGGGTAAAGGTGCCCACCTCTCTGCTGGTCCACAGACCTGTCCTGATGTCCCTGAGCGCCCCCGGGCCAGGTTGGACTCTGTGTCCCCCTTTGTTGGACCGCAGTCTATTCATCACCTCTGCCCCTGCCTTCCAGCACTGGCAGCAGTTTGAGCCGCAGCTGACGCTGTGGGATGTGTTCGGAGCAAGCGCGGAGGTGACGGGGCTACGGGAGCGGGGTCTGCTGCTGCTGGACCACAGGTGAGTTGGGGGCTTAGGGACTCCTGTGAGCCCTGGTCTGTAGGTGCCTGGGCTGGGGTTGAAACTGGTGAGGCAGAGCAGTCACACCGGGGCTCTCTGGCTCCAGGGGTCTCCGGTGTTCCTGGGAGGGCCTGGCCGTGCTGGACTCCCTGTTGCTGACCCTCCTGCCCCAACTCCAAGAGGCCTGGCAGCAGAGAAGCCCCACGCCAGTGCCAGGAGGATGACCAGATGTTCCTGCGTCCCAGGACAGCGCCAGGTGGAGGTGGGAGGCTGGACCAGCGCTGCAGATGTCGCTCCTCTGTTGCGGCTGCCAGGTCCACTCAGGGGCAGCGGCCTGGCACGGGCACCTCCAAGGGCACAGCCAAAGCGAGGTGGGCAGAAGACTTACGTGGTCGGGGGCTGGCATTCCAGCCAGCAACTTCGGACTCACAGATCAGCCTGTGCTGTGGGACTGGGAGCTGCTTGTTACCGCCAGCTTCTGTTGGCCTTTTTTGGTGTCCAGCAGTGGCCAGAGTTTGGAAATCATAATTAAAAAAAAAAATTTTATTGGTACCCATTCACAGTACATAATGACCGCGTTCATCATGGGGAACTGGCCACATACACAGCACATCTTAATTCTTTCTAAGTCTCCTTCCTCTCCCCTCGCTTTGATCCCTTCCCATTTGCGAAAGCTCTGTCTCCTGTTGCCCATTTTCCATCTTTTTTTTTTTTCAGTACATGTTTTTGTTTTTTTTTTTTGTTTTTTTCTGGTACCGGGAATCGAACTCACGACCATGCGCTTGCCAGGCAGGCGCTGTGCCGCTGAGCTAAATCCCCAGCCCTCCGTTTTCCATCTTGTACTTGTTCTTCACTGGAGATCTTCCTGAGAGGAGTTGCCTGGAGAGAGGCCTCCTTGCTCTGCAGTGAGGTCCTGAGACAGGTGTGGGTCAGGAAACCAAGTTCCCTCCAGGTATCTGAAGCAGGAAAGGATTTAATCTTGGAATGAGGTCGTTATGAAATTATTGTGTTTTTCAGAGTCAAGACAACTATAAATGTCAGCATTCTGGGTGTGTGGGATTATTTCCTGAAACAATATTCAGGTTGGGTTGTTTGGATTTTTGCAGGGCTGGGGATTGAACCCAGAACTTTGTGCATGCTACCCAAGTGCTCCATCACTGAGCTACATCCCCAGCCCCAGGTTGGGTATTTTTGGCAAGCCTATGACATAGCTGTTTTGTAATTCAGGGTCTGTAATACAAGATCAAGTCACTGTCAATAATGCTAATGTTGGTGTGGGTATGGTGGAGTACATGTCATCACAGCACTCAGGAGGCTGAGGCAGTAGGATCACCATGAGTTGAAGGCCAGCCTGAACTACATATGAAGACCCTGTCTTAAAAACAAAACAAATAATGCTAGTTTTGATGACTTGATTAAGGTGGTGGATGTTATGTATCTCCACTGTACAAGGAGATTTTTTCCCCTTGAAATTAAGTAGCTTATCAGCTGTGACATGGTACCTGGAGACCAGGCAGACGTCCTGTTCCCCCATTGCTTTGCCCAGTGATTCAGGCTTCTGTTGATGATGCCCTAATCAGTTCTTAGATTGGGGCTTGCAAAATGTTAATTTCTGACTCTCTCACTCCTTCTATATTCAGTAGCTGGCATTTCTCCATGAAAACAACAAGCTTTGCTGGGCATGGTGGTACACGACTGTAATCCCAACACAAGGGAGGCTGAGGCAGGAGGACAGTGATGGGGAACCTATGGCACATTTTATTTGTTTTTCTTTTAAGACAAAAAAAAGATGTTAATGTATGAGTTCTTTTCTAAACTGAAACCTCAGTATTCAGGTTTAATTGCAGCATTGGCACTTTGCGACATACAGGTGGGTTTGGGGTTGCAGTTTGGAGACTCATCTCTAAAAGGTTTGCCATCGCTGCAGTAGGATCTGAAGTTTGAGTTGCCCCTGGGAAACTCTCTGAGACCCTATCTCTCTCTCTCTCTCTGTCTCTTTTTTTTTTGTCTTTTTGAGACAGGGTCTCGCTCTGCAGTTCAGGCTGGCCTTGAGCTCACTTTGCCACCCAGGCTGGTCTAAAACCTGCAATGATCCTCCTGCCTCGGCCTCCTGATCTTTCTCTTTTTTCTCTTCTCCCTCCTTTCTTCTTCTCAGCACTGTTGTGGCTCAGGCAGGAGGCTTGCTGTAAGTTCAAGGCCAGCCTGAACAATGTAGTGAGACCCTGTCTAAAAAATTAAAAAAGGAGGGAGAAGGGGAGGAAGAGGAAGAGAAAGAGAAATAAAAGGGGCTGGGGATGTAGCTCAGTGGCAGGGTATCCCTGGGCTCAATCCCAGCACAGAACTAAAAAGAAAAATAAGAAAGAAAGGAACTTTCTGTTTTTTGAAGGACCAGCTGTGTGTGTGGGGGGGGGCACGTTTTCTAGGAGTAGGCTCTGTAACCCTAATGCGTTACCATTTCAAAGGGTGCCAGGGTGCCAAGCCCCTGCCAGCGTGCAGTTCAGCCTGCAGCGGGTGACAGGTGGGGGGGACAAGGTCCCCACCTCAGGGGTGAGCACGTGCCTGTCCCGCGTGCGCGGTGGGTGTGAATGTCAGTCCTCCTCTGACCCCATGGTAACATGGTACGTGTTACTCCTCTCCTTTAGTCATGAAATATTCAGCCTGCAGCATTGGTGTGCCAGGCCTTGCACCGGGCACACAGAGAGCAGAGAGGCCTGTGCCACCCTCGAGGAACTCACCGCCAGGTGGACGGGCGGGGGAGGAGGGCGGCTTGGGTTTGCGCGGCGTGCGGTGGCTGTGGGAGCCTGAGCCACATTTGGATGGGGGTGCTGAGACCAGGTGATACTCCCACCGCCTCCTGTGTGCCCGGTGCCCCTGGCCCTGGACAGCTTGCAGGGTGACCGTGCTGCCCGGGACACCTCTTCCCGGGCCTTCCTCTGATCTTGATACGCAAGAAGCGAGCTTGGGCCCGTGCGGTGCCCCATCAGATGACCCGGGCCCACTCCGGTTTCTCCCCGCTGCCAGGGCTCGTGCCACCCGAGATGGCCCTGGCCGCTGGGCCAACTCACGGGCCATGTGGCAGGCTGGACGAGAGCCAGGCCAGGTCGGGGTGGCACCGGTCACCTTATGACTCAGCCCGGGTCTGTCCTCACCTGATTTGTCAGGATGAGAAGCGAGGAAGTGGAGGCCCGGAATCTGGTTGTTAAATGTGTCCTAATGTGTCCTAAATGGCCCCGTGATCAGTCCGGCTCCAGAGCCTTGAGTCGCACCATCTCCTGGGTTGTGCTGAGAAGGCAGGGTCAAGAGGAGAGGGGTTCATGGCTTCTCCCAGACAAGATGGGGGCATGGGAGTCGCGGAAGGAATTGGGATCCATCCTTCCACATCTCAGCCCTAGCCTGGCTCATCCACTCACGGGGTTCTTCTCCATCATATTGGGACATCGTTGTCATCTTCTCACTTGCACTACAGAGGAAAAGGGGGAGAGCCAGGGATGGTGACGCATGCTTATAATCCCAGCACTTGGGAGGCTGAGGCAGGAGGGTCGCTGCAAGTTTGAGGTCAGTCTGGGCTATAGTGAGTTCAAGGCCAGCCAAGACTACATGGGGAAGACCCAGAATAAAAAACAAAACAAAACAATAAAAGGGATAAACTGCCCCCTTTGGTGCTAAGGTGATTAGAGAGATTGGGAGTGTTGGGTCAGTGTTTGGTTACAGCTTGAAGGACCAAGTCCTCAGTATGGGAAGAGCACTGGCAATTTTAAATCCCTACAATTGATCCCCCTCCCCAACACACGGGTAGTGTGAACCAGGCAGGGCTGCTATTGTCATTTCTTTTGCAGACAGAGACCTTGAAGGAGGATGTGAATAATACATGCTGTAATCCCAACTGTCTGAGAGGCTGAGGCAGGCGCATCCCAAGTCAAACCCGGCTTGGGCAACTTAGTGACTTAGTGAGACCCTGCCTCAAAATAAGAAATAAGAGAGGCC